GCGCCCCCGCCCCGGCCGCCACTGGAGCTTTGGAGAGGCGGTCCGCGCGGGAGCGCGCCACGCGGGGCCGGAGCTCCCAGCCGCCGGCAGTTCCTTGGAGGCCCCCGACCACCCCGGAGTCCCCCGCGCCCCCGGCCCCCACGCGAGCCCCGGCCATGGCGGCCGTGCGCGGGGCGCCCCTTCTCGGCTGTCTCCTGGCGCTGCTGGCGCTGTGTCCCGGGGGGCGCCCGCAGACGGTGCTGACCGACGACGAGATCGAGGAGTTCCTCGAGGGCTTCCTGTCGGAGCTGGAGGCCGAGACCCGGGAGGACGACATGGAGGCCCCACCGCCCCCGGAGCCCACCCCGCGTGTCCGCAAAGCCCAGTCGGGGGGCAAGCCGGGGGAGCCTCCGGGGGCGGCCAAAGAGGGTAAGACCCCCGGGGGCACGCCTGGGGGAGGCCCACAGAGTGATGGGGGGCCTTGGGGCGCCCTGCACCTCAGGTGAGAATGGCAGGGCTTTGGCAGCTGTCCAGCCTGCCCGGCGTGAGCAAGGGCTCTGGAAGGCAGGAGAGAGCCCAGATGTCTGGCGGGACCCGGTGCCAGGCAGAGGTCAGTGCTGGCTTGTGGCCCTTTGCGCATGGAGGCACCTCCCGAAGCTCTGCTGCCCAGTGGTTTGGGTCGTCGGGGTCTCACACCGCCAGCCCCCAGAGGGGCGAGGATTGAGCCCCCTGGAGACATTGCTGCCCCCTCCCCAGACCTGTCCTGTGAACTGCCCTAATGCCCTAGGCGGGCCTGTTTGTGGCACACCCTGGCCATGCCCGCGCCTCCACCAGAGTCCCAGCCTCAGACTTTCCTTGGGAGGCCTCCCCTTCTGGGAACACAGAGGCAGGTGAGGGGCTATGAAGACCCCTCCCCACAAGGCAGCCGGGAGCAGCGGGCAGAGTGGTTTCCGTGGCCTTGTGACTTAGACGAGGTGGTGTATTACCGGGGCGGCCAGCCCAGGGCCCTCTTACATAATCCACTGTCAATAAATCTCAGCTGTTTATTGTGGCTTTCTGGGGGGGGCAAGGGTCCTGTTGATCTCCCTCTCCCAGAAGACTCGAGGGTACCGTCCATCATTCCCGAGGTCAGCTGCCCCTCCCCTGGGTCTCCTTCTAGATCTTTCCTGGCTCCTTCCCCTCCCCTTGGGGGGCGGGTCCTAGGACATGGCCTCCCCCCACCTCTACTTCACATTCCAGACTCGCTGTCCTGGCCTCTTGGATGCCACTGTGGCGGCCCCGTTTCTCCTGTGTGCGTTTTGTAAATGTTTCTGTGTTTAGGCCTTGTGGCCACTGTCCCCCATTAAGTCCTGCACAGCATTTACTGGGGGGCTGGGGGATTCCCACAGACAGCCCCCTGCCCTGCTCCCACTTCCTCCACAGACTCTGAGATGGGTGAGCAGCTACAGTGCCTGCCAGTCCCTCCGTCCTCTGTGTGGCCCCAGGACCCCCTACCTACCCCAGACCCCTTACTTGAAGGGACATGAGTGGCCCTTTTCTCTGAAGCTTTTCTTGACCCTGCAGGGAGTTTCAGGGAGGCTCCAGACCCATGTCTTCCAGTGCGTATGACAGCTGGTGGGGATGAGACCTCCTCTCCCTTTAGGCCGGGCCACCCCCGAGGCCTGGGTGGCTGAGTCACGTCTCTGCCCCTTCCGTGCCCGGCACAGTGTAACGCTCCCTGACCAGCTGACTGGACATGTGGGGGAGAAGAGGATGATGAGGGTCCTCTGTTGAGTTTGGCAGGTGGGAGGGTGAGGGCCTGTGTCCTGGGCCAAGATACGGTGTTGGCAGCAGAGACTTGCGGACGTTAGGTATGGGTTCCAATCCCAGCTCCTCCATGAGGCCAAGTGACTTAACCTCTCAGTTTCCCAGTCCAAGAACCAGGACCAAAGGAGGCCATGTGCGCAGGTTGTGGGCACCTTGGGGCAGCCATGTGGGGCATAGAGTGAGGACTCCATTGATTTGACCTCAATCTGCATTTACGACAGCACCTCTGGAAAAGGCCAAAGACAAAGGGAAGAAAGGGAAAAAAGCCAAAGGCCCCAAGTCGACCAAGCAGCCCCTGGAGGGGCCCCTCAGGCCACCCAAGAAGCCCAAGGAGAAGCCACCCAAGGCCACCAAGAAACCCAAGGAGAAGCCACCCAAGGCCACCAAGAAGCCCAAGGAGAAGCCACCCAAGGCCACCAAGAAGCCCTTGGCCGGGAAGAGGCCCCCCACCCCGACCCCCTCAGAAGAAACCCCATGGTGGCCATTGCCCCTGCCTCCCAGCTCCAGCCCTGAGATGCTGCCCCAGGAGGGAGGTGTGTGCAGGCCCCTCCTGGGGTTGTGGGGCTTTGACCTCCCAGGCTACTGGGAGGTGGGGGGGGGGGGGGGGTCCCTGGGCTCAACTTCCTGCAGATCCCAAGGGCCGCTTGGACAGGGTGGGCTCTGGAGCCTCGTCATTGTCATGAACGTAGCAATTGGGTGGGAGCCCCCTCGGTGCAGCGGTCACCCCTCACCCTGGCCCAGTAGGGGGTGCTTGGCAGCCTCATGGCCGGGCTTTGCCATCTACTGTCCTGGGATCTGTCCCCTGACCCCACCGGAGCCATCCTCCTGCATGTTGTTGGACCAGACAGCAGGGCCTGGGCTTCCTGGAAAGCCCTCCAGCTCTCTGGCTGTGGGGGCGCCATCAGGGTGGCCAAATCCAGAGCGGCCCAGGCCTCCTGGGAGCCATGTCAGGCATCGGGTACTGTCGGCAGGACCCAGGTCTGGTTCCATGCACAGTGAGGGCTCAGGGCAGGCTTCCCATCCACCTGCCTCTGGGGTTTCTGTTGCAGAAGGGGCCCTCCCAAGTCCTTGGCCAGGTCCAGGAGAAACGGATTTGGATCGCCAGTCTGGTGAGTGGGAGATACTCACTTGGCTCTGAGGGACCGATTGCCTTGGCCGGCTGGGTTTCCAGGATGGGCCCAGGCAGGGGCATCTGTGAGTGTCTTCAACAAGGCACCCACGAACATTTCCCACAGAGCCGGAGGAGGAGACCGAGCCGCCCACATTGGACTACAACGACCAGATAGAGAGGGAGGACTATGAGGATTGTGAGTAGGCCCCCCTCTGCCCCCATCTGGACTGTGACCCCTGGCCTGGGGACCCACTGGTGGTCGGTTCACCTGGGGCCCTGCCCTCCCGGCCCCACTGCTGTCTGAGGCGGTGGAGGGGGGGGTGAGTTGGACTGGCTCAGAGCCCACCCTCCCCCTCAGTTGAGTACATCCGGCGCCAGAAGCAGCCCCGGCCACCCCCAAGCAGGAGGAGGCCCGAGCGGCTCTGGCCTGAGCGCCCTGAGGAGAAGGCTGAGCCAGCTGGGCCGGGGCTCGAGGCCCCCACGGAGAGGATCGGTAGGATGGGGGCAGCCGGGGGGGAGGGAAGGGCGCCGGGCACAGAGGGAGAGGGCTCCGGACCCACCCCTGCCTCCCACCTCCACAGAGCCTCCTCTGAAGCCTCTGCCACCCCCGCTGCCTCCTGACTATGGGGACGGTTACGTGATCCCCCACTATGATGACAGTGAGTGCCCTGCCTGCCACACCCCTGGTTCCAGTAGCTCAGTGGGAGATGCATCCCCAATGCCCTGCCACCCCTCCCCTCCATGCCCACTTGGGCTCGCAGCCCAGTCTGCTCTCCTCCCTTGGGCTGGTGCCTCCTGGCCCTCTGGGGTTTCCCTCTCTGTCCTGTGCTCCCATCCTATGGGCTGAGGCCAGCGCCTTTCTCTCCCTCCTGCATCCCCTTCTAGGGGGCCTGAGTCGGTCCCCACCCTTGACCTGCCCCCAGGTCCCCAACAATCTCTTGGCCCCAGCTCAGCTCTCACTCAAGTCCGCCCCTTCCTGGCCACAGGTGTCAGGTGTTACTTGAGGCC